TAGGAAAACAAATCGAATTTTGGTGAAATTCATATCAGTTCACATTTGAAAGCTGTTTTTGAAGAATCAACTAGAGGCAATCACTATCGTTCAAGCATGAACTCTTATAAATCGATAAACTTATATACCGATGAGAAAGGTTTTGTTGGTGTACGCTAGGAATCGCAAGCTTTGGTTTTTTTCTCGCACTTCAATGAAAATCTCTTTGACTCAGATGAAGCTCGCAAAGGCATCATGGCCTGGTACCCCTTCTAGTTTAGAAACGCATCTTCCGCCTCCCTATGGCAGCGCTAAGCATTCGGCGCTGATCCCCGCCACACCTTAGAATTGCACCAATAATTGAAAGAATATTTGAAGGCCATTTTGCCGACACATTTTGCAAGAGACAGTCGAGTTTCTCCGAGTCGAATGAAAGTAGAAGTTCTGAGCAATATCGGCCGAGATCTGACAGTCACTACATAGGCAAGGAGAGCCCGACAGAATTCCGCACGTTAACGTTAGTCCTAGACCATGAAGACCGCGGAAAGGTTCTGTTCAGCGACAGATGAAATCGTACTCTCTTGAAAGCGATGGTGTGAGCCTCGTGAGATGTCCGGTCAATGGGAAATCTTTTAGGAGTGTCAGATTTCGACACTGAGATACAGTAGAAGTAGCCATGTGTCAGACAGCCGGGCGATCTCCCAGTTCTCTGTTCCGTATTCTTGGTGTCAATGTGGACTTAATGACAAGGGTATTCCGTGGAACAGTGCTCTCCTTTGCTCCTCACAAGGAATGGTCAATTGGTCGGTCCGGCCGTTTGTAATGAGGTGTAGTCCGATGCACGCGTCTTGCGACGCTGAGCTCAAATCCGTTTTCGGTTTTTGCCGAACGATTCTCTGAACGAAGTTACGAGGGATTCTTCTCACTGTGGCTATCTCACTGTGGCGCCCTCTACATCCCCCTATCCCACTTGGCTCGCGTAAAAACAGAACGAACGAACAGAACGATAACAAAATAACCAATTATAAGCGCTTTCTGGGCTCGTATGAGCAGCCTTGAAAAAATGCAAAACTTTGCTACAGGCAAGGATTCGAACATATGACCTCACCCCTATGAAGCAAGAGCGCTATCCACTAGACCACCAGACTCACTGTGATGCTCTGCGGCTCTTCTTATGCGAGCCGAGTGGGACAGGGAATGTAGAGGGCGCCACAGTGAGATAGCCACAGTGAGAAGAATCCCTCGTAACTTCGTTCAGAGAATCGTTCGGCAAAAACCGAAAACGGATTTGAGCTCAGCGTCGCAAGACGCGTGCATCGGACTACACCTCATTACAAATGGCCGGACCGACCAATTGACCATTCCTTGTCAGAAGTTGGCGCTTAGAAAATCTCAGATTTTCGGCGCTGATTTGGAACAATTTTGGCATGGAATTTTTATCTGCGCCTCCCGACTCCCTCCAATCGCATAAGATGGGCATCATATCTATTAAAACACTCACCCGTCGCTCGAAGCTCTCCAGACACCTCTCGTGATTTGAATCAACAAAGCTATCCGCTCTGGATATTGAATTTATCGACGGCACAATATCTGAAAGTGAAAGGTGTCGGTAGGCAGTTAATGAAGTAACGATGGTGGATAATGGATAAATTGATAAAAAATTAAGCGCTAATGAATCTTTCTGAGATGCGCCACGCACTGCTCCTCCACTCGGGTATTTGTGGCATTTGAGTTCGATTCGGTGCTCTCGCAAATCACTGTGTGGGCTAGCCTGATAACACCTTGTTGTAGCATTCAAATGGCACTGCCCGTTGAGGTAGGCTGGACTTAAAGGCAGTGGTCACTAGAGGGAGGTGTGCTTTTGATGGCGTCATTGAACGTCACTGGACGTTTAGTGGCGGTGCAGTTTCCTTGCGCATGGACTTATCCAGAAATGATTGAATAACGTCATTAGAACTCGCACGCTCTCCAGCATCCTATCAAGAGCTTCAGGCGCTCATAACGATTCCCCTAGTTGTTTAATAGCAAAGAACACCTGGCTGCAGAATTAACTTACAAGGGAAGGATGGTAGGTCGAAGTGGCCGTTCGAAATGAAATGTATACCTCCTGATGCGTCTCCAGACGCTGATTCCAAATCTGCCTTCCAAATCTGCTAAACGACTCTCCGAACGGAGTTATGAAGCGTAATAGCTCAGTGGTGATGGTCCGGGGTGGCAGGTAAAAGCTCGTAGGATCGGTTCCTTTGCAAATTGGTTGCTTTGCTTTTGTCTCTAGAAGTGTTGCGGACAAAAGCAAAGCAACAAACTTGCAAAGGAACCGATCCTACGAGCTTTTACCTGCCACCCCGGACCATCACCACTGAGCTATTACGCTTCATAACTCCGTTCGGAGAGCCGTTTAGCAGATTTAAAAATTCGGAAAAAAAAAAAAAAAAAAAAAAGCAGATTATGGAAGCAATTGAATCAGCGTCTTAGAGACGTATCAAGTGGTATATCATCTCATTTTATATCGGTCAGCTTCGAACCTACCAGTCCTTTCCTTGGTTAAGGCAGGTGAGCTACCTAGGCTGTAGGATTCGACCAATTTGGGAATCACCCTTTCTAGATTCCCGTGTCAGATTTTGGATGGGGCAGAATTGGCGCAAGCAGTCAGTGAAATTTAGACAAATGCGGGAAAATACTTACGATTCTCCGTCCTGCTTTGAAATGGGCAATCATGACAGTGAAAAATTAACTCTTCCCTTAGCGGCTAATCAATTTTCTGTCAGATGATCTTCAACCATTTGGATTTTATTTTTTTTATTTTCTAACGCCATTGTTTTTGTATATATGATTAACACGACCAACATGATAAAATGCAGAACCAACAAAATTAACAAATAATCGATAGTGGAGATATAAATTCTGAAAACGAACCGACAACAAATCGCTGATGTGACGATGTACCAATTTTGGCGCCGATCATTGAAAAAATCCAGTCAACTGACAGCGTACCCGTATCTCCCTGAAACGATCCATCTAAAGAAGTCCTCGAATGTGAGAGTGGTTTTGCGACATGGACGTTCGAAGTCCGAGGTTTGCACATGTGTCTGCGTGCGTCCGTGTTGCGCTAATGTAGTCAGTATGAAGGATTCCACGATAAGGACTAAGGTCGAATGAGGGAAAACTTACCAGTGGAAGGATAGGCGGACATCCTAAGGATGTGGACCAACACACAATTGGCTCGAAGGATATGCCCCGGCAGATCTAGATGGCCTTCCCGTGGCGCTAGTTGGCGCGCTATGGTGCGGTACGCCCCCCCTCTCATTGTCTGAGCCTAGCCGTTTAGCAGAGAGAGCGTTAGCGTTGAAGAGGGCAGCACCGATGAGAGTCGCATCAATGCGGAAATCAACGGGCAAGGAAGGGGTCCTTTCTCGGGTTCTGCCGCTTTTCTTCTTTTTCTTCCTTCCTAATTATTTCTTAATCCTAACCTTAAGTTCTAACAAGCTGCGTTTTCATAGTAAACTCCGCTTTTGATGTTTTTTTTTTCAAGGAAATTGCACTATCATGTCCGCTGAACTCCCCACCTGACAAAAAGTTTAAGGAAGCTCTAGGATGGACGTTTACGATCAATCGGTAAATATAGCGTGGATTGTGTAAATCTGAAATATAACGTACCTTGAGCATTTTTTGAATTTCGGCCGTCGTCTCAACAGTATTGGCAACTTTGCTAGGTAAATAACTGAAAATGATCTCTTCGACGGTGATTGCCATAAAGCCGAATCGATGTATCAACTCTTCGATCACCAATCCTTTTTGGGAACCAGGACCACCTGAAATTAGCAGCTTCTTCCACTTCAGTGTTTTGCTGTGCAGGATACGTGATGCACACATTGCTACCCCATTGCACCTATCGATTTGCTTTAGTTCATGTAATGGCCAAGCATTTAGAAGGAAGGAAGGATACAGCCATAAAGGGGCAAAGGATTGAAGCTGACGCGTTCTCAGGCTACCTTGG